CACACAGCTGAAATACTGACCACACAGGCAACTGGGTGGAAAAGAGAACAGGTTTCTTGCTATAATTGGGAGTGGGAAAGGCTTCAAGCTAAATGATGAATTTCTCTTGCTTCCCAACACACTAAATATCTACACATTCTGGTTCATCTGCAAATGAAGATTAATTCACAATTTACACACAAGAGCCATGTTTACTGCTCCAGCACACAGCCATCTAGCTTGCTTAGATTTGATAGAAACAGTGCTAAAAGTGTGTGTTATCACTCAGGGTCCCTGCAGAAAAAGGATGGCACATTCAAACTGGGCAAATGAGGGGGTTTAATAAAGGGATGACTTACACAGGTTTGGGTAAGGTCCAGGGACAACGGCGAGGGATGGAAGCCAGTCACAGCCAGGAGCCCCAGGCTGGTGATCAGAACCCAGAGAGATCAGCTTTTGGGAGAGCGTCTCTCACAGGAGTGGTGGTCTTTAGTAGGGGAACACAGTCAAGCCATGATTTCCTTGGCCTCCTGAGTCAGAGGACGGCTCCTGAGACATACAGGTAGGCAGGGAGGCGAGGGAATGCAGCAGAGGGGCTGCTGGAAAATGCCCTGTGCAGTATGGGACAAGTGGAGGCTAAGCAACAACAAGCTAACCCTATGATATGGCCATAGAACAGAACACTTCAATTTTTAGAATACAGATGTGAATCCAGGTCTTACTGACTTTGCCACGGTAACATATCCAAATAGGCAGCAATTAGGTAAGAAAAGCAAATAATAAATCTGTAAATATACTAAGACCCTAAATTCGGATACACATCAAATGTTAACAGAGGCTAACTATGTGTAGAGAGATGTATGCGATTTTCCCACTCTTATCTATACATGTTTCAAGTTTTATTTAAGTACAGCTTCCCAGTCTATGCTGTAGGGATCATTAAGACAACAGAGAGTGTCTTTGACTTGACTGGAGAGCACTGAAAGTAGCCGCTGAAACTTAGATTTAGATCTCCTCTTACGCTGAGCGCTTTTAAAAGCAAACTCTGTTACTTCTTTGTTATCAAAAATATAACAGAAAACAGGGAGAATGCTAGTATCACTGATGGACACTATCTCAGAGGTTTACCTTAAGGAGGCTAACTTTTAGAAGTCTTCTTGGGGTAATTAACAAGGGCTGCATTAACCACCTTGAAGGAACAGTCTGTGTTTGCAGAAGGTGACCTCCTCGTCTATCAGCTGTGCACATTCCCAACTATACAACGTCATCCCAACCAACCACCAATCAAGTAGCCACTGCTGGCCATTACAGTAGTGCCCCCTTATCCATAATTTTGCTTTCTGCAGTTTCAGTTACCCTTGGTTAACCACACAAAAAAATTAATAAATGAAAAATTCCAGAAATAAACAATTTGTAAGTTTAAAATTGTGCACTGTTCTGAGCAGCATGATAAAAATTTCACACCGTCCTGCCCAATTGGATGACCCAAGGATGCGAATCCTCCCTTCTTCCAGCAATTCCACACTGTACACACTGCCCCCATTAGTCACTTAGCAGCCACCTCAGTGATCAGATTGACATTCATGGTACCATGGTCCCTGTGTTCACGTCACTCTTCTCTTACTTAACAATGGCCCCAAAGCGCAATAGTAATGATGCTGGCAATTTCAGTATGCCAAAGAGAAGTTGTAAAGTGTTTCCTTTAAGTGAGAAGGCAAGAACAGTGCAGTAAGAGGTTTTATGAGAGAGATAAAGACACTATCTCACATAACTTTCATTTTAATATATTGTTCTAATTGTTCTATTTTACTATTAGTTATCATTGTTAATCTCTTATTGTGCCTAATGTATAAATTAAACTTTATATAAGTATGTATAGGAAAAAGATAGTGTGTGTGTGCGCGCGCGCGCGCGCGCGTGTGTGTGTGTGTATGTCATTAGGATCGGTCAGGCATCAACTGGGGGTTTTGGAATGTATCCCTCATGGATAAATAGGGGGTTACTCAATGTAGAATACATTTGAAAAAGTAGCGTCAGAGATTTATAGCATCTCTTCTCTTTTCAGGGAGTTAGGCAGAAAGGCTCATTAATTCTCCAAGAATAATGGGGGCACCTGCCCTATTTCTGAAGGCTGGGCTGGCTCTTTCGGGTCTGGTGTGGGGTAGAGTCACGTAGGAGGTCATGAGTTGAAGGACTTAACTTTGCTGCTTCGTAGTCCCTCTCTCACCCCTGGACCACTCCTATAAGCTCTGCCCTTCTTAAGGTCTGAAGACACTCCAGACACAGGAACAACCTACCATTTACACAATACATTTTATACACTAGGACCTGCGCTAGGCACTTGTCTAATTGGTACAAACAACTCTGCAACTCAGACTTGCCTACCTCCATTTCACAAACAAGGGTATAACACTGAGGCTTCCCGAGGCCATCTATGCATTAAGGTGGAGTGGGTGGAGCTGGGGCTCAAAGCTGGGTCTGCTGACTCTGGGGCCTGAGCCCTGTGCACTACTCTACACCACCTTCTAGGAGTGACCTGGCCAACTCACATGTACAACTCATCATGTGCTGGAATCACAGCTGCCTGGGCCCCCAGAGCCTTTCTCTGCCTCCCAGGTTCAGCCACTGAGCATCCTTTCCCGCCTCTAGGTATCTAATGATGACAAAGGAAAAACAAATCATCAAGCACAAGATGCACAACAGCCTTCAAGCACTGGTCAGGGGCAGGGTGGGGAGCAGCCATTAACTACGTGTTCTTCTAGGGAAGTCTACCAGAGCCCTGGGTGAAAGGCCAACCACTGGGGAAACACATCCACAAAAACCAAGATAATAATGACTCAAAAAGCAATGTTGAAGGGTTAATGTTTACTAAGCAAGCAAGGCTCAGTTTTCTGAATTCTTCCCATGAAGACCTCAATTGCCTTTAGCTTTTTCAAATTTAAAATGTAACAGTGTTTCTAGGCCACACTACAGGCTGCCCCAGGATGCTGTGAACAGTCCCTGGGTTCACTCTACCCACCTGCAATCTCTACCTGCAAAGGAAACATCAGCATATAAACTTCCTCCCATTAAGATGCCAAGAGACGGCTGCTTTATTAGTCCAAATGGCCAACTTCAATGAAGCTAGGCTGTGCCCCAATGACTTCGTGTTTCTTCAGGAGGAAATGGTAGAGCCCATAAGACTGCCTGGTAATGCTGCCCATTCACAGAGCAGGAAAATCCTGTGAAGAATCACCCAGCACTGCTGACCTCTCAGGGAGAGGTGCGCTCAGGAGATGGAGTCAAAGAGAAGATGTAATTAACTCATTAGACTGGTAAAGCTGTCTTCTAGCCCATTTGAAGGACTCGGAGATAGTGCCTTGATACTGAATCAAACACTCACTTCTCAGCTTTAAGTTCAAGGCCCTCTCACAATCTGGTCCCAATTTTCTTTCTACTCTTATTTCTTATTGTCCCCATACAAACTCTACACTCTATGGAAACCCAATGACCCCGGCACCCCCAAGCCCACGCCTTTGCTCCTGCTGCCCTCTCCACTGGCAGCATCCTATCTTCATCCCACTGGCTTCAATCTGGTTTTAACCAAAACACTGGTTCTTTAATTCCCCCTCAAATCCCACTTTTCTGTGACGTTCTCTGAAGCCCTTTCCCCCCTCTCACACCTCCTGTCCACCCACCCCACTCCCACAGATGTCTTCCTCGCTTCCCCTGTCCTGCCATTTCAGAGCACATTGTACTTATCTTCCTCACAGACTGCCTCATTCTATACTTGACTGTAGGTGAGGAAAACTCTGTTTTGAAAAACAAAGGTAGAGTATACATGCCTACAAACAGAGTCTGGCGTGCTGTCCCCAAGGGGCCTGGAGCTGTGTTGAGCCTGCTTTCCCTCAGTGGCCCGCATCCGGTGGAGGCTCACCACAAGCTGCTTCACTAACGTGAAAACCTCCTGCTGCACAGGGTTCCTAACAAACAGCCCTAAACCCCATCTTATCTGGAGATAAGAATGCTGTAGAAATTGCCCCCCCCCCCCCCCCCCCGTTCCCACATGGGAGTGGGATTAGCTTGGGTTTACATAACTTTGCAGCTGCAACCAGAACAGAGCTGGGACGGGCATTTAATCTACAGACTGTTCAAACGCACATGTCAGCTGTACCGCTCCCCTCCTCCTAAGAGCTAAATTAATTCTTCTACTGAAAATATTCCTGAGAGACAGACTGAGTCCACTTCAAAGGCAGCTTTCTCCTAGCTAGAAGCCTGCAAGGGTAGCACTTTAACATTCCCTGGGTGCTTACCAATCTTTGGGAAACATTCTTCTGCCCAGTAAGACATGTCACAGGTCACTAAGAAATATTCAGGTACATATTTCAATTATTCTGTAACAATGGTTATGAAAGAAACCTGGGCCTCAGACTCTGAATGTTTTCTCCTCACTAATTTGTTTCCTGAACCACCTCGCCCCCCGTTTCGCCAACCAGGGAACATGGGATGGGCAAGACACTTCTGCTGGGAGAGGCACCAGGTCTTCCAGGGGACATGGTAAGAATAGCCACAGAGGCGTGGGGAAGAGAAAAAGCCCCCTGGGATCCCCTTTCAGCAGCCTCTGCCAGAGCCAGTCCCTCTCTCCACCCTTCTGGCTACCCCTGGATCTCCCCTCTTTCCCCTGAAGACTCACTGGAAGGGCTCTAGCTCTTGGTAAACACCTTCAAAGTGAACGTGACTCCCTCAGCGGGGCTGACAGGATCCAAATTATTTCCAAACTTCATGTCCCTCTGTCCTGCCACGCCGGGGCCTCCACCCTTCAGTTTAACCATGAATAGATCTGTTCTCTGAGATCCAGGCAGGAAGATCTCCTGCCCTGGCTGCTTGGGGCTTGCCTCCTGCATGACTCTCAGAACCACACTGGTCGCAGTGCGAAGCAACCAGGGACAACCCTGGCCCACAGCCTGCTCCAGGGAGTCGCACACCAGAGATCTGTGGTGGGCTGTGGCCAGTTCGCTCTCTGTGACGTCACACAGCCTTACCTCATCCCACTCTGAGGCGAAAGAGGGCGACTTCTCCAGCCTCTTCTTCCCGATGCTGCAGTTGGACAAGGACTCGCTCCGGCTTCCCATCGCAGTGTCCTCCGTGGGTGAGCAGGTCAGGAGATCAGAGTCAGACTTGGACAAGCTGCGGCTGAGTTTGAGTTCAGCTTTGGGTTTGCTGGTGGGAGGGACTCGGCTTCTGGCCCCACTCCGGTCTCCTTCCTCGGCACCGCCAGGGTGTGGAGATGCTGTGTGAGTCAAAGTTTCGGGGTGCGATTGGCTGTTGGTGGTGGGCAGGCCTGCTGGGTAGCCCACTCTCTTACTCTGGTCCCGGACACTGGGCGGGGAGCCTCCAGGAGCGTGCACACCCGGCTCCTCCAGCTGCATGCTGGTCTCGCGGCAGGTGCCCTGCGCGGGGGACCCTTCTGGATGGCTCTGGCCAGTGGCAGGGAGCAGCTGGAAAGGGTCCTGCCCCACCTCACACACCGGGGAGGAGCCGTGGAGGAGACCTGAGAACTGCTCTGGGACCTGCCCGTCCTGTCCCTCTGCAGAGTCCTGGCTCCGGCTGTTGTTGCTCTGCCTGTGGTCTTGAAGTGGACGGAGAGAGAGAAATAAAAAATTAAAGTGGCAAAAATCAACAAAGTTCCAATGTAGCAAGCATACGGCAGAGCAGAGGAATTCAAAAACACAGGGAGAGAGAGGATGGGCTGGGCAGAGGGCAAAGGGAGAGAAGAGAGAGGAAGGAAAAAAACAGCTTCGTATTGTTCTTAATGTTCAATTTGTACCCAAAGTCAGAGCATTTATGAAATTCCAAACACTGGCCTGATTAATGCTATCTGGCAGCCGTCCCTGTTGTTAGATTTCTGTTAACATTAACGACCAGACTTTGCTATATAAGGCGAGAAGTGCTAACTATATTCTACAGAAAGGACTCAGTGAGGAAAGAGGGAGCGAACACAGAGTACAAGTGAGAGAGAAAGAGAGCGCGCCAGCGAGCAAGTGTGAGCAAGGGAGACTCGCTCCTGGAACATCTGATATGCTTCCATAAAAGCCACAGTGTTATTTAGAGCCACCCGCCCTCCCTCCTTCTGGCAAGCAGCAACAGAGGGGAAAAAAGGAGGTCATGATCCACAACCTGCAACTTCTGGAATTCCTTAACTGAAAGTACAAAACAAAACGGCAGAGAAATGACCGCTTCCTTCCTCAGAGGGGGCTGCTAGAGTCCACGCCTCATCCTTCCTTCCGCAGGGAACACAAACTTTTCCTTTTTTTCTGAGCATGTGCACATCTCACTCCTTCCAAAGTCTCCCAGTTGTTCCTATTTGTTTAAGTTTAACCTTAGTTGATCCACTGAAAACAAAATGGTCTAATCTGTCAAAGCCAAGAGACATTTGCAGTTCTCCCAAGGTCTCCCTAACATCCCAGAAATCTGACACTACTGGCTCATAACACCGACGGCTACTGGGTCCTCCCCCGGGATATCAAATACCTATGCCCTGAAGTAGCATAAATAATTGACCAAATCAGAGTCCAACATGGGTCTCACATTGGAACACTTGAGGGGTTCGCCCTGCAGGAACTAGGACCCATTAAGGAGGGATTCTAACCCCCATCGGCAGAGTAGGAAACAACCATGCACCCAGTACTAGCTCACATTCCAAAGCTAATATTCAATTTTATTTTCCCTGTAAGTGGAAGCTATGGTACACACACCAAATGACTTCATAGTCTGCCCGATGCCCCCAAGAACTGTTCACTAGATCAGGGAGTCTTAGAACTGAAAGGGTTGAGTTCAACTATTTTTGCAGATGAAAAATCAAGGGCCCTCAGGCCTCTGGAGGTCTTTCCGAGGTGGGGGTGCAGGCAGGCTTTGACCTGGGCGTCTGAACACCTGGCTCTCCTGGCTGTGCTGCTCTCACGCTGTGTGGCCTTGGCAGCGTGAGCTCATCCTTCTGGGCTTTAGAATCTAAAATGAGTGGTTTTGGGGAGAGGGGGGTGTAAGGGAACTAAACAGTAATGGAAAAAAATACAATCAACATTAGATAAAAAATAATAAAATAAGTGGATCGGACTACAGAGTCCTTCAAAATCCCTTTTATGTTATGACAGTGATGAGAATCCAAGTTGCCCGCATACTATGGCTCCTCAGCGGATGCCACAGAGCACCCAGTCCCCCTCACCAGGATGCCTGCAGCCCCAGGATCCCTTCTCGAAGCTCAGTTCCGAAACCAAACAGGGGAGTCAGATGAGGAAGAGTGCACTTTATAAACCCGATGCTAAAACACAGACTCCACTTCACACGCACGATACCGGTGTCCCACAGTGCTGGTTCCTCCACGGCAGCCATTAAAGAAGGAACCACCACCTCTCGTAATGAGCCCATCACCCTGAGGTCTGAGCAGGGACGTGGTTCCATTCACCCCACCCTCTCAGGAAGAACAGTTCGGTCTCCACAGTCTATTCAGATTGGGCAAGTCTGCAGAGGCTGCAGGGGGACAGCCAATTAACTGCACCTTCTGGCTCTGACAGCACATCCACAGGGGCCCAGCAGTATGAGCTTCGCCCGCTCCTTCTTCTACCCTTGACCGCCCTTGACCGCTTCAGGACTGTCACACCCTGACTCACAAACTCACACCCAAAGGTTCGGTCCAGAGCGCCAAGCAAGCACTAAACAACCTGAATAATTTCTCAGAGAGAAGAAATGTTGTGTACGTAGAGTTCCACACAGCTTAACTCAGCCCCAGGAAACCATGACTTCAGTGCTGTGAACACACACGACCACCGGCAGCTTGAACAAAGATGCTCTGTGCTATTGCATGGTGGGGCTACAGAGAGGATGACACATGACCGTCTAATGGGGGTTCAGGCCTATAGCACTTTGTAGAAGAGGTCGATGGGGACAGTCAACCAAGCTGCAAAATTTGCCACCTCTAGGGCTATATTCCAATGGCCAACTTCCTACTGACCCTGGCCCAAGGTTCAAGGTCCCTCTGCATCGGAATACAAACAGAGGACTTTGGTAACAGGAGCACAGGGTTCCATTTCTTTGCATCAGCTTCTAGCTTCTTATTTAACAATTTGAGGGGGGCTGGAGGAGGGTGAGTCCAACAATAAAAGAAAAACACCACAGTCCAGAATTGGGAGCCAGAGTGGCTCATGCTGCTTGGGTGGACCTCAGGCCCCAGCCCACAGAGCATTTTCTGCCCGCTGCTGTGGGAGCCGACAAAGGAGGCCCTGTCTAACAGCCACCATTCAAGCGAGCCTTCAATGAAGAAAGAGAGACTGATGCCAAGTCCTCAATACCAGACTGATGCTGAGGGAGGAAGTGGGCAGAAAAAAAGAAATGGAAACTTAGGGAAGAAGGAAATATGTGAGGAGAAAGAATTTCTGAGGGTCATAATCCCATTAGAGAAACAACAATCCACCCATACTTTATGGAGTGTAAGAAATCATGGAAGGGGCTTCTTATACTTGCACGATTTTCCCAGGCAATTCTGCGGGAAAGACACCTTGGTATTTGAAAGCTGGATCTAAGAACCTCAGGATGTTACACTAAGGTAGTGTTCTCTTTCCCATAAAAAAAAAAAAAAAAACTATATCCAAGCCTAAGCTTGATTTCCCGGCAACTCAACAGGTGGGATTGCATCTACTCAATAGTCCTTTCCTTCTATAAAGGCAGGATGACATTAGGTCTCTTAGGGGCAAGGTATTAACATAAGGTACTACTGATCAAGAACCAAATCCTGGCAAATTATTTAACGCTCTGTGCCCAATATTCTTACATAGGATTTGGAAATGTTAGTAGTACTCATTTCATAGGATTGTTGTGAGAATTAAATTATACGCAAAAAGCATTTAGAACCATGACTGGCACATGCCAGCTCTCAACAGACGTTAATAATTATTATTCACACAAGATCCGTTACAACATATTTTGTTCACAGATGAGACTACTTCTCTGTTCTTCACAAGGATCATCAAAGACAATGTACCTGACAAATAACACCCATTGACTTCATTATCCTTATAACTCTGGACAGCAGGAGAAGACAGAAGGTAACACAGTGAGAAGGCTGAGGTGAGAAACTGAGACAGGCCCAGAGCTGTCGCTCTACCCACCTGTTCCACCAATAAGCGTGTGCAAAATGTTGGCCTTCAGGGGACACCCAAGAGATATAAAGGCGAAGACACTGTGTCTGCTTAATGGATTTACGCACTATTGGAAGAGACTAGCATATACAGAAATGACTAGTATTCAAGGCAAAAATTCATAGATGCTTGAAGAAGAGTAAAAGCCAAAGGCACAGTGAGCAGAGGGAAAGTGTGATTACATCGAACCAGGAGGTTTCTCAGAAGAGGTAGCTTTTGAGGCTGGGCACTGAAGGAGAAGGCAGGCCTTGGCAGGGAAAGAGAAGTGGAAATACTTCAGAAATGCCTCGTGTGAGGTCTCATGGACTTGAGGATTCGCAGGAGAGAACCCCCAGGCCAGAAGCCTTCCTGTAGACTGGGACTCACTATGTGCCCACCTTTGGGATCATGAGGCTTCCAACCCCACTCCCCCAATTGCCCTCAGCACTCCTTCTTGGAGAGAAACAGGAGGGAACGGGACGGGGAGGGCAGTTTCCCTCCCTCACCCTCCCCATCCATCAAGGCCAGCTGCTACTGAATAGGATACAACAGCATGCTAATTCCAACCCTTTCCACTTCTGATCTCAATCCATTCTGGGTGTTCATTTCCTTTTTACTCTGTGAGCTACTGAAGCAAGGGGTCTTCTGGGCTGCATTTTAATTACTATGATGATCCATGGGGACCTCAAGGGCTTTTGAATAATAAAATTTTAACATTCACATTTTTAGTCATCCTGTCTGTTTAAATTAGGGCTGAAAAAGCAATACATGTGAGAACTCACTAAGTCAAATCAAACCTCAGACCCAGAGGAGAAAGCAGGGATACTCCAATTTCCCAGACTGCTCTGCTTTCTTTGTTCCATTAGGAATGGAACCCTCTGATCACCTCGTCACTGTGATGAGCATCAGAAACCATGTGACCTCCTAAGAACATGGCTGCTTTTGGAGGGCCACCATACTTTTCCCAGAAGGAAGGCTCTGTCTAGGTTATGCAGACATTGGTTAGACATTGTGATCTGAAAAAACAATAGACTGAGAGTCCATTCTGGTCCGTGGCAACTGGAGAAACAGAACGAGAGGCCCAAGTTGTAGTCCCTACCCTGTGACTTTTCCTTTCTGCGTCTTTTTTAAAAAATGAACAGCTGGGCTGCATTCTCTAGGGCTTGAGATTTAGCATGGTTTGAATCTGTGACTAGACGACCTAAGGTTTCCTTCCAGCTTCTTGGTGTTAAGAATGTGAATAGCAGCAGGGTTCTGGATGAAATGATTTAGTCTCATGGCTTAAAGAGGCTTCGGATCCAGCCAGATGAGGGCTTTAGATTCAGCTCTAACACCTAACTTCTTCCTCATCTACTAAACAGGGATAAAAATAGCCCCACCCTAGAAGGTCTGTCTGGAGATATTCAATGGCCTAGTCAGTGTAAATGAACTCAGCACATGGATGGCCCATAAGAAGCAT